TTCAATAACATCGCTAATACTTGTGTCATCAGCATTTTAGGTCTCAAGTTCACCTCACAAATATGTTATTTAGTTTTAATTCATCATCATCTAATAACCTGTTTTACTGTGTGCATTTTTATTACATTATTTGTTACAACTTACCTCAGGAGGTATAAAGCTAAGATGAAGATGAGACCTGTTATCTGTAGTTCAATCACCTCATCATTGCTATTGCTATCTTTTCATTCCCACAGCAAAAGAATTGCAACAACGGCCTGTTAAACATGAGCTTAAAACTAATTAATTTGGTGCTGGTGAAATATCATAATTTTGCCTGATATTTCTTTTACAGAACGTAATTTGGTGACGCTGGTGTGTCACTAAATATCCTGCTTTAAGCTTTGTAATGATTGGATTGTGATTTTTTTTGTTTTTATTTGCAAACCTTTTACCATATACATACACTGAAGCTTTCTGCGTAGTATGGTAACTTATCAGTTTTGACAAATAATATATAAGTTATGTAACCGGCCTCAACTTGTAACGCTGTAAAGCATCACAGTGCAAGGGGATTGCAATAATCGTACCCATATTCAATTAGTGGACAGCTCTCATGAATTATGGACACAATGTAATGAATAGTCCGGTGATTGGTGGAGGATTTATGCGGCAGATGATTTAGTGTGTCTCCGGTTACGCGGTGATGTCTACACTCTGCAGCATCACTGCAGCATGCAGCATGCAGTCTGAGTCTGCAGTGTGCGCCTAATTGACAACATTCCCCTGGCATACCAACACAACGCACGCCTCAATTGTCAAACATTATAGTGGGCACGTATGATTTACTAGACACATGCTTTGAAACTTGTGAGGATTATAAATTAGTCCTTTACATAGAAGCTATGTTACTACACTATGTAATAGATTTGGAGTTTTTTAGGTAATCTATGGAATTGCCATGTAATATTTTACAAAATAATGTATTTGGAATGTTTCAGTCAGCTGTAAAACAATTTTACGTCAGGGTAAAACAATTTTACGTGTTGAAGTTATTCTTTTCGTTGTTATTAAGACCAATAAATTATTACCTTCCTAAGCTACACCTTTGAAGGCCTAGGGCAAAATCCTCGTAAAATGTTGGAACAGCAATATGCTGACCCTCCCAGATATAATAGCTTTGTTGCTGTTAAATTCAAACGGAATAAATACGTTCAATAACAGTTGAATTATATATTTTACCTCATCATGTTATTTGAACATTATTGCCACTAGGACAATGATGTACGAATGATGTTAGCTCAAAAGGCGATAAATATACCTGTAATACCTGTAATATACCTGTCATAATAAATATAATATATTAATGGTGGTAGGTGGTGATCGATTTCGATTAGACATTCCAATTCCAATCATTAATAAAATGTTTTGCCTATTGGGACTGATGATAATTGGAGTGTCCAAACACCTCTTGGAAATCGATCACCTTTGACCATACAGTATATATATTTACCTCTTTTTTTTATTTACCATCTTGTGAGTTGACAGTTTAAGTGTAAATATATTGTTCAATTTTTTTCATGTGTAAATATATATTAGGGGTATTTTTATTTACTTTCCTCAAATTCAATAACAAGCAAAATATTGAGCAAGAATATTGAGTTTTAAAAATTGTAACTAATTTTCGATGCGGTTTTGCATTATAGAAAGACAGGCAGCCACAGCATTTTTCATAATTGTAATAAATTAATCGAATACGGAACAAACTTAGGATAAATTTATTATGACTCAAACCGAAAGTTAAACTCTACCACGAATATTATAACAGAAACGGTATGGATAATAAACACAAACAAATGACGTTAGCCCAATCCTGTACTACATTAACATATGGTTTGTTCAGTTCTATTTAAATAATGTTAAATTAATAATGTTTACTTTCAGGCCAGTGACCTCATTTGTTTATGTTTATTATCCATACCGCTTCTGTTTTAATATTCTTGGACTCTACCGATTTCATTTAGATCCAGCGTATATGTTTTATGTCGGTTCAATTGCAGAATAAATTCTCGGTCAAGGGCGCATTCCACTCACGCTGCGCTCAATGGTCCAAGAGATCGATTCAATGAAAATCGGCCTTCATTAAAATGTTTCACTACCGAGACCGGGTTTTTGCTGATTCCAGGAGAACAATGGCGGTCTTGTTAGCTCTGACTGATCGTTGGCCAGCTTCACTTGTCTCTTTTTGCAGACGACAATCAAACAGCTGTTTAAAAGACTTGTGGCCGCGGCTCGGCCTCTCAGATGGCTTCGCCTTATTTAACAATACGCCATTTTCGTAATTGCATCCTCTAGTCTTAAGTTTATTTTCTGTTCCACTTAGCGTGAGTGCAGCTGTACTAAAATATCGGGAATTATTGACCCTCCCATGACGTATGGTGCATCCGTGTCCTGTTTGGAATAACAGAATGATTTACTTCTAACTTGTCTGTTTCGTTTTAGCTGACACATTCAGCTTTGATTTTATAAAATTCAGTTTGTAGAAAGTTTAAGAATGTTTCATTCCGTAGTGTCCAGCTGTTGAAACTGAATGTTTCTGTCCATCATATTGGCTTGGTGGATCCCAGCCCATCTTAAGTTGTTGATCCGCATATCAAAAAGTGATAGGCTACTCAGGTGTGGAGAAATTTCCCCATATCAACGAACTCAAAACAAATGTATTGCATGGAACTTTGGAACTAAGACTTTTCACGACATAAGCGTGTCGTGCAAATCCCACATTTTGAAGCGGTTTGTATAATGCAGTCTTCAACTAAAGGTGCCTTAGCACAGTAGCAAAAGAAAGAAGACTGATAATCAACTGAGATGTGTGGTGCAAATACTTACATTAGGTAAGTTTGTCTTAACTTTGAAAACTTTGTTTAAAATTATCCAATAGTTTTAATTTTATGGGTATTTCTAATTTAATAAACATATTTTTTGCATGTAAACTACATAAATATATAAAATAAAACGGACGATGAAAAGATATTCTCGTGAGTCATTCTGTGTAATTACGTACAAGATTGTTTACTAAGATTAAAAAACTAAACTTATCCCAAAAAATAGCTGATACTTATCTTTTACAATCTGCCTGTAATGTCTAGCATTAAGTTACTAATTAGTTGTCTCTCTACTTTTGAAATATGATAAATAATGGAAAGGTTGTTCTGAGTGACGCAAACTAGGAAATAGAAAGCAGAGAGTTGAGATGGCGTTACCTTCTCCTGTTATTAATAGCGGCGATGTTCGCAGTGCTTTACCGTCGAATGACAGTAAGATGCACATAAATCAGTTGATACTGCCAGAGAGTGGTGATGTGATAAATTTTATTATTTTGACCTTTACCTAAAAAAATAAAACAAAATGACATAGCGCCAATATATATTGAAAAATGATTCATAGGAACAGCCATTGACAGTACCAGTACTTGCAAGGCAGAGGACAGGAGTTGTAATGTCGCATTGCCCACCCAATCGAGATTATTGACTTTCGAACTTTTAAATTTGCATAAAAATTTATATTAGTTATAGAGTTATATTAGCCGCCCAAATAAGACTATTTACTCTATCTTTGTTAGGTTAATAAGCTTGTGTGTTTTCGAAGTCCATTTAACTTCATTAAGAAAAGTAAGTTGAGTTAAGGTGTAAAATTGTTTCATCGTCTCAGTCCAAATATGAATCTGATATATGAATGTGGTGCTCGCTGAAGCAAAACTATTAGAGAGGAAGGTATTCTGCAAAGCGTTTGATACTATGGAGAGCCAAAACATCTTGATAATATGACCACCCCAACTCATTGTATCTCCTGAAACGCTAAATTTCCCCACAAGTAAGGCCAGTTAACGAATTGCAGTGTACTGTACACGTCGATTTTAGTCATTAGTACAAGATAGGCGAAAATAATTGCTTGAACTTTGTCAACATTGAATTTAATGCCTTTGTTTAATGCCCCAGTGAGTTACAGAGTCAATGTCAGAGTTTATAAGTTGTACACTAGTATCCATCTCGTCTGCATTAAAGTGAGAGTAAATCTGTAAGTCGTAAGCATACAAGACTGGTAATTTGTGTTTTATATGACATGAGATGGTATATTGAGAACAGTAGTGGGCTAGGTAAAGAGCACTGAGAAGCACCTTCAGTAACCGCTCCAGCAGATAGCAAATTTGTCACTGATGTTTTCACACTGCCGACAATGAGACGGATTGAACTCAAACCAGTAAACACAGTCTTCAGTTAAAAATATGACCTGTCTATTATACACCACATCGTGGATGACTAAGAATTGTCAATGAAATATTGATTGTGCTGAATATAATTTAAATACCATCGAAACACTGCGTTACTTGTCATCCTTGAAATTGCACTGAGAACCTCGAATCAAATAATTGGGAAGAAGAAAGACTGATTAAAACTGGATGTTAAACATTGTCAAAGGCACCTGCAAAACCTTTAGGGATATTTACAAATCTATTGCTAACAGAATCGAGACTGATAGGGTATGATTTAAATCCTCAGATTTGCAGATACTAAGGTTTATAAATTTGGTCTTGGTATAATAAATATCGTATTATATTGACTGTATCCTATGTAAGGCTTTAGACTTTAGTGTTTATGATGGGTCTGCATCGGTCGCCTACCTGTGCTTGCACATGCAGCTCTATTGTACTGTATTGACTGTATCAACGCTAGGCTAGAGACTTCGGTGTTCATGACGGGTCTGTATCGGTCGCCTACCTGTGCTTGCACATTCAGCTCTATTGTACTGTATTGACTGTATCTATACTAGGCTAGAGACTTCAGTGTTCATGACGGGTCTGTATCGGTCGCCCACCTGTGATTGCACATGCAGCTCTATTGTACTGTATTGACTGTATCAACGCTAGGCTAGAGACTTCGGTGTTCATGACGGGTCTGTATCGGTCGCCCACCTGTGATTGCACATGCAGCTCTATTGTACTGTATTGACTGTATCTATGCTAGGCTAGAGACTTCGGTGTTCATGACGGGTCTGTATCGGTCGCCCACCTGTGTGATTGCACATGCAGCGGTCTGATGTTGCGGCGGCGGGTTGGTAGGTGGCTCTGCCTTATTGGGACTAGCCGTCTGTTTGTCCAATGCTTTCCCGAGACAGGTACAACTGCACCGTATATCCGCCAGACCAGATGGCCCCAATCGGGACGCCTAATCAAGAATAATTACAGGCTATGTGGGTCTAATAAACCGTGCATAATGCGTTTCTGTGAATAAATGTTTGGATGTTAAGGTAAGTTAGTAAACATAGATTCTCTATTTTTGTGGATTTCCACCTGAAAATAATAGTAATCCTCAATTTAGCGATAGCAACAGAACAAGACTTGTATACAATTGTATTTTAAAACATTCCGGGAAATGGTTTATTTTTTCCAAATTTGCAGAAACGTTCACCTAATTTTCTTATCATGACTGTTGTGAAATTAAAGTGTTTTCACTCCACAGTTTACAGCTGAGGATGAAAACATAAATAAAGGTTTTGCTATGAAAGGGTCATGGCAGTGTTATGATGAGTTATGGTGATGGAACGTTTCGTCACCACGACAATGACTAGATATTTTCCCACAAGTTACTCAGCAGATATGGAGTGAAATAGTGTGTTCTGTCAAAACTAAATTGAATCACATTTTTGGCTACACATTATTCAGATACAGAATAAAAAATTTTGAACACTTATTTGTATATTACAACTTCTACAAATTTATATCAACAGTAGGCCTATCTATGTCGTTAAATGTAAATTTTCAGCGTTTTTTTTATGTATTTTAGGTAAGTAAAGTAATCGGGTTGATAAGTTCTATTGGTCGATTTTATTACGTTAAAGATTTTAATTTTTGTCACCATACATAAGATTATTAAGTACTTTTGCCAAAAAAAGATAGATAGGAAGTTTAGATAAAAGTCTAGATAGAAAATATAGAAAGATAGATACCATTACTTATTGGTACATAGGTTTTTTGCCCCTTTGTTTACCTGAAGCGACAATCTATACCAAGTTTCTTGACATATTTAAGGAAGGCCTTCAGTATCAGAGCCTGTCAAATACCAATGTATACTTTATAAGCGATTTTTACAGAACTGTCAGTTACAGAATGAAATTTTCAAAAGAAACTATTTATAGTAACATTTTGTATCACAACATTTTGTACCTAGAAGAGATTAATAACGTGAATAACTCCAACTTTGGATCCTAATCAAGTATAACACTGTATATTTTATTAGAATACGTAAATAAGTTCGTATAAAAATTCATTTAATGTACCAACTATGAAACCGCTACACTATCAACTCCACAGCAGTTCCAAAATTTATATTTTACTTAACAGCTACAGACATTTTTTACAGACACCTATAAATTTATTCGAGCTCCCCATGTAGCAGCACTACTGTGAGGTGAAGCTATAATTACCCAGGAGACAGCTCGGCTGAAGAATGTATCTAAGTGGGAGCTGCTCCTGCACAAGCTTAAACAAATTAAAGGTAATATCCAGGGGAGTGTGACAATAAATAATTGGCCAGCATTTGATTTGCCATGCAGCACTTGCACACCTGGCCTTGACCGTCCCACGAAGGCGCCACCAGTCTGGTCTGTTAACCTGTTACTTTCATTGTTATTGCAGTACAAGCTGTTGTTGCCACTTCTGTGGTACATAAAAAGGCTGTTAGGTACTTCATCAATTTACTACAACCGATTTCACAAGATAGAGTAATTTATCTTTTTCACAGCTGTTGCTTCGTCAGCCAAGGAATCCCAGAAATTATTGCAAAAAGATTCTCATCACGATTGGTATGATGTAATGACGTCTTTTATAATACCAAAGCACCATTCTATGAATGAACTATATTCCTTCTAGACCATATGTATGTTGATACCTATGAGTAAATTGCGTGTTGTTGTAGAAGAATGTTTGATAGTTTTTTTTATTCTGTGAAGAGTCTAATCCCGATGTATGTAGGTGTTATCGGTTCGAAACTAAGTTCAATTTTATCGCTAGGATGATAAGGAGCGTCAATAATGTTCGCTCAATTCGCTTCATTCACTCCACAATCATTCTTCATTTTCAGTTCATCAAGTTCACAAGTCAATTCCAAACCACACACGGTGACGTGACAGCGTTCAGTGCCTCTACAGTTGGCGATACCACTCGTTCAATTTGTTCTGTAAAGTGACACTTTATCTCCAATATACAGACCTCACCGCTGGTTGAAATCCGTTGCACCTTTATGTCGTACGTATATGATATTACAAATTTTCAGCAAAATCATATTAATATCAACTGTTCTTAAGGAAATACTAGAAATACAAGACAACAAATTAGAAAACAATGGTAGGTAAATATACATATCGTAGAAATATACTTTAATGTTGTATGTGTGAGAATACGTACACTTGAGTAATGATTTATACTAATCTTTATTTAATACATTTAATAACATTAAATCAATCAATCATATATCCTTATTTTAACCTGATTGCCCGCGTAGAGACTGCATATGCCGTTCCAAGTGTCCTTTATACAAGTACAAAGCTAGATTCTATCTCAATACCTCTTTATGAGTTATGTCACATTGCTAATTCCAACTGATATCTTAACTATGTTTGAATCTGAAGGCCAACAGCTAGTGACTCCCTACTGCTACTACTGCACCACTTTATCACTGTTATCGTCTGCAGTCTGCAGTATGAGAATGGTGTGTAGCATTACTTACCGTTTACACCTCTGTACATGTAGGAAGTGCTAAATCTGCAGGTTCGCCATGCATCACCACCGCTCTGACATGTGGTGGGCGATGATCGCAATGTCCCGCCCAATATATTATACATTAGCGCACTCGTTAGCAGAGGGGACAAATGCCCCGACTGTGATTATGATTTATTTTTGCTACTACTACGTTCAGAGCAATCCGGTAGAGTTTATTATGGATTTCTCTTCATGCTTCATTAAACATTAGGCCTATCTTTTTTGTATTGTTTTTATTTGGAAGTTCACAGTTCATTATTACATAGTTTATTTGAAAACAATAATTACTAATTAAGTTGTTTAATACCGTCTGAGTTTATATTATCCATGTATTTAAGAGTAATATCTTTTCAGAGACTAAATGTATGAGAAACACATAAGTTTACAAACCAAATAGCACAACATTAACACAAGTTTAATACTTTTCCCTAAAAAGGAATAAATAGGATAACGAAAGGTACCTAGTATTTTATCAAACTCCCCTCTTTAACGAATATGATTTCCACCAAATTTCGTTTCGTATTTTCCATCAAGTTCATCGGAACAAAACATAAAGTCAGCTATTTGTTTACTTGTTATGGAATATAGCTGCGGCTTAGTAGCTTTTGTGCTCGACTAGAAATTGTTTAATGGAACATTAATTTGTCAGACATCTTAATAATCCCATTATTAAGATTATGTCTCGTAATTAAAAGATTTCACTTTCAACTATCCTTGATCATTGCGCTTTTAATACTAATGGTCCTGGCTAAAAGCGCCAGCATACCTTGGTCAGTAACGAAGCGATCACATCTTTAATTCTTAATATAATTCTTCGCTGATCTTAGTACTAAAATACGCACCCTCTTGTTTTGGTGTCGTATAAAGTTTAATATAATCTAATTTAATACTAATATTAAAAAAAATTCTGTTGGTCCTGAAAAAATAGAAATTACGAAATAAGCGAACTTCTTTCTAGTCACTTTATTAAACTTTCATCCTAACGGGTTGATAGTAAAAGGAAATTTACACTAAAATCCACACATATTACAAATAACATTGGCTCAAAAAGTCCTGTGTTTTTTTTAATAACAAAGGCAGCAATATTGAACACACAATTGAATTGCTTAATACCCCACAGGAAAATTCTCTAGAGTATTACTACTCTGTAACTTTCACCTTCATCTTTGTCTAACTTTGTTTTTTACATCTTTTTCCACTTATACGGATCTAAACCATCAACATGTGTTCACACATGTCCAACACGTACATTACACTACAGGTTCAGAGTGTTACAAACTAAACGATAATTTACTAGATAAAACCACCTACACTCAGTGTTTCCAGCACTTTGGAGAGTTTGCCAACAAAACGATAAAACTCCCACTGAATTGTTGGCGTATATTTCACAGATGCCCAATTAAGCTTGCGCGTGTAGAAGAGACTCGATGCGCACGCGCAGCGACGACACTCAACTACCGCACAGTCGCAGCAGTAAATTAATAAACAGTGCAAGGTATAAGAAAGAGCAAATAGAGAACGGGATGAGTGTAGGTAGGTCGTGGGCCAACGCCTCCTCATCTTCACTTCATTTACTGCTTGTAAAGGCACACAACATGTACTGACATTTTTATACATATTCACTTTACCATTCCTTTTAGGAGTATCGTAACAAACTGTGACGGTGGATCTTTAGACTGTGTTTTCTAGTAACATTTCAGTTTTTTTCTCAGATTAATTCAAGTGTACAAAGGAGCGTTGCAATCAAAAGCGTTGAAGATTTTTTGAAAGAATAGCTTCTTGTATGTTATAAGGACTCTCCTGGATGTGGTGACAATAGAGGAGGTCATTACGACCTCGAGTCAGCTTTAGGCACATCTGGTGATCACGTCTCACGCTGTTGGTAATTCCTAATTCGGAAGGACCCTGCAATTTTATTTGGGCACTGTTTTAGGTCCAAATAAACTATTTTTACAAGTCACATTTAAATTTATATTAAAATAATTTGGTATTTGTCACATTCGGTTCACACATTTGATAAAAAAGGAACCATCTGGAATTCTGGGCAGATAGTAGGGTCAAGAACCCATTTGACGTTCACTTCATAACAGCCTGATGAAGTGACTTCAAAGGGGTACACGAAGCTCTAGTATATGGTGTAACATTTTTTTCAGTAAGTGTAAAATATGACCAAGTACAGTATTTTAATTTCTTTAAATATAAAAAAGAAATAATGGTGCATTACAAAATAAAAATTGTTTATGTAAAGGTAAAGCAGACGATTAATATTCATCTCACAACT